TTGTATGCGTGAATTCATAAATTAGATCAATACATATTAGATCAAAAGTTATCGCCAATACAGTTTCTCAAACGACTAATCCAATGAATTGATTTGATCGCCAAGAAATCAGTAGGCCGAAACGAATCAATACTGCTCAAACGAACTAACAATAAGAGGAATTCCTTCTCCTCAGCTACCACGTACAAAAATTACATTGGTCAACTCAACAAACAAAATGCTCCAATAATAAAATATACAATCAACTTTTCAAAATGATTCTTTTTCAACCCACACATAAATACAGAAAATGGAGAAGAAACACAACTTTCATCGAAAACAAAGAAGGATTAACAAGATATTGCCATAAAAGTACTCGTTTACAATATACAAAATAATGAACAGGCGAAAAAATGAACACAAGTAAACTAGAGCTAAAAACCAAACAAAAACTGCAAAACACTCGAGTATATCCATACGAAAAAATATGCAACGCCGAAAATCTGTTCTCTTGGGCACTGAAGGTGAGCTAGCCACTGCAAGTGAATCTCTTAAAAAAAAAACTAATCTCATGAATGATATGAATGTTTGCTCTGCAGCTCTTCTTAAAACTATTTCTTCCGAGACGCACGCGATTTGTTCGAATCTTGTTTCGCCTTCAAACGTGCTTGATAATCCTTGTGCAAGAACTGCTCCGGTTGCAGATCCGTTTCGACGAGATAAGTTGACAGGTAGTCGAGAGGATAGCAATAAACACCACGCTCGATCAGCATGTCGATTTCCTTTAAGGAACATTTCTTATTTCACCATCAAATTTCTCATTCCAATATCGGAATTTTTTCAAATGAGTTTTCGTAACAACCAAAAATAAAAACTTCCGCGATATTTCTCTTACTAACCGAGTCATTCCAATATTTCGATCGTTCAACGAGCACAACAGTGACTTTATTCAGCAAATCGTCCGATAAAGTGATATCATCTCTGCAAATTCAAAAGTCAAAAACTTTTATTATATTCCAAACTGAACTAGCACATAAAATCACAGCTGAATACGAAGATATCAGTTACGAAACATCGAAAATCTAGAAACTTTTCAAAAAAAANAAAAAAAATGTTCACGAATATGAAACTGCGCATAAAGTTTTGCGCCTGACTGTTTTACAATTGTGATCAAAAACCATTCACTGTGAAACGCATACTTTGGGATCACTGATAATTGGACAGTAAATGAATGAACGAACGATATAAACTGATGTACAAAATAACAATTTTGAAAAAAATAACCTCGAATACCATGTCCCACCACCACATTCGACGATTTTAGTCACATCGCTTAGACGTCGTTGGCTACAGTAAAACAACACACACCACCCGTCAAATGCTCTCTTTGAGGTCTAAGAAATCACAAAACTTTAATGTCCTGTTGATCTCAATGATTCACTAACACTGAATCAATATTTGAAAACAGAATTTCATTCGTATCATGTGAAATAAGAATAGCAATTCCAATAATGATGACCACAGCAATAATAAAATGAAATAATCAATTCATTTAATCATTTTACCAGTTCAATCTTGACTCGCCATCGATGACACGCTGCAGCTAACATCTCTTGACGTGGATTATCGAACGACTGTTTTGTCAAGTTGCCTACGGCACCCCATTCGAAATCGCTCTCCTAAAATGAATGTTGCCGAAGTTTCCGTTTTCATGCCTTTCTGATAAAAAAGTAATCAACTCTCAGATACCTTTAACAACTAAATTTTTCTCCTTCCCTAATTCTGCTACACACAAATGTACTTGCTTGATAAATCAAAATTGTTTCTTAACGATCCTAACGAATATTAAAACAAAATGAAAGTGACTAAGAAGAGACTGTCAACGTTTCAAATAAACAAATTGAATCAATCCTAAAAAATTAACGAGAATAAAAACGAACATTCAGCCACTTTCCGGCTTTGTGTGAATCCTCAATGTAGTCGGGTAGAACGATGTATTTACCGGAGCATATCGATCGCATCAATTTCACATTACGGATGATTGTACCACAACACAGATGCGTCACATCATCATCTATGTCCAAGCACACCTCCGCGTTAAGCTTCTTCACATATACACTCAATCGCTCACGATCCTGAAACGGCATATACACACTGCCTTCGGCACTTGTTTACCTTGTGTTAAATTACAAAATCACTAATCTCATCAACTAACGAGATTCAAACCTCAATGCTGAGCGATGAGAATACGAAACGCTTCTTTACAGGAACAACCTGAATCGATTCGCTATCACCACCTCTGAAATGAAAACAAAAAATCAATCCAAATTACGAAACTGAGTGGACGTTGTTCTCGTCAACTGAACGAAAAGAATACGGCATCATGAAACCATGCAATACACAACCAATTCGTTAATTTGATCAGCTCACTTATTTTGATCGTCCCTTAGAGACATTTGCCGCTTGGATGATGTAGACGGTTGTTTCAACAAATCGTCCTCATTGTCGTTATCAACGGTATCATTTTTAGTTGCCTGAAATACATGAATGAGAAACCAATGAGGAATGGACATCGCGACAATTCGATGCTCATTTCTGTAAATAAAAAACGAATGAAGTTCATCCATAAACTCATATAGTTGTACCAAAATATCGCAGCAAATACAATATCAAAACAAAAAATCCTTCGAATTCCTCTCATATCTGAAACTATTCCACAGAGCAACTTCTATAGAAAACGATATGTTACTCAAATTTGGATAATCAAAAAAATTGGAAAGTCCAATCAATGATGAAAAAAGATAATGAATGAATGAATAAAAACAGAGGAATAAAACTTGATATTCTTACCATTGTATCAGAAAAACCCGACGACAATGTGACGGTTCGTTTTTGGAGCGCCTCCCTGAAATACTTTCGTTCATTCCAGCAAAACCGACATTATTTCTTAGCTTCCTTTCTCACATTTAAAAACAAAATGCCTAGGCGAAGAACTGTGGCGATGAATCAATCATCCTCTTCCTAAACAAATCCCTAAAACTAGCAAGTTATGTCAAAGTTTTTCAACCGAAATCGCACTTTCCCTTCACTGAAAAAAGTGATCAACGAGAACCTCGTTTCTTTCACAACAGAAACGATCA